GTATCCCTTTTCTATCACAACTTGTGGCTGTCTAGAATTTGCAGCCCAGGTATTACTTGTATGCTGCCTGGCATTCAGAGACTTTGGATGGATATGATAGATATGGAAGATAAGGTAGCCCTACTATTAACACAAGAAACCTAGAAAGGAAAAACAGAGACATCAGAACAAGGAAACTGTTAGGGATATACACCCTAGCAGAACGTGCAATGGTAGTCAGTCAGGCAGGCAGATATGTGAGATAAACGTTGTTGTAGCTTACACTCAGTAAATCAGATACACTGTGCCAGTTAAATAGTTTTTATTCCAGTAAGAGTTATAGCATAGTCAAACAGTCCATATATCATACACTTAGTTCAGTCCGTCCGGGGATTATCCATTAGCAAAGTCCAGTGTCGAAAAAGAGGTCAGTAAACTTACAAATAATCAGTCCAGTAATATATCTCTTTTTGCAGTAGAGATATGAAGAAAATCAAACCTCTTTTCTTCGTTCAGCAATAGCAGGGAAAACACGCAGTTATCACCATCAATCCATCATTGTCAGCAATCCAGTAAAAGCCAGCAAACAGTGAGCTCTCTTGCTCCCTCTTATGGTGATTTTTCAACCGCACCCAAAATACATGTTTTACAGTTAAAGTGATACACACACTTAAACTCACTAACATAGTTTATATATATTATTTTACCCAAACTAAGTTAGGTAACCATGTTATCCCTAACAGAAACAACTAGGCTGTACCAAATGGAGTTACAGTACATTCCTTATGAGTACAGCAAAATATATTTTGACTTTCAGTTCAAGATGTACTTATTATATTATTTCCAACTGGACCACTCAAACATATGATCAGATATTGTCTCCATAATAACAGTTTGATCTAAAGAAGTAAGGCCTAATCAACTACAAAAAAATTAATATAGTCTTACAGTTATGTGCTTTTAATAATATTCAATAAATAAATTTATTTTTAGGTATCTCTGGTTGCTCTTGGTCCACTGACGAATATAGCACTAGCAGTGAAAATGGACCCATCACTTCCCAAGAAACTTAAGAATTTGTTCATCATGGGAGGAAATACTGAATGTAAGTGAACTCAAGAGGACCTATTTGACATGTTTATATCTGCCCAATGTGGCAGATCCATGCTAAAATTTCATTTTAATCTGTTTGTTCATTTTTTATGGGAAAAAACTAATCATACTGTCTAATTCTGGCTGATAAAGTCTGACTGACTATTTTAATTCAAGTCATGCTACCAAGTGTATGCATGGGTTTGTGTCCTAAACATATTAACTCATATATGAGTAATAAGATAGAGTGAAATAAATAATCATAGCAGTTATCCAAGGCAGTAATTCATGATGCACATGGCTATCACAATCGAATTATGCTTAGTTTCATCTTATGTGGTGGTAGAATTACATCATTAGGGGAATGAATGCTATAGCCATAGTGTATTGGACCTCAGGAAAGCTTTTAAGAACTTGCCTTGTGATATTCTTCCTTCATGGAATAGTAAATTATGGCTAGAAGGTGCTTCTATTTAATGGACACTGTATAACGACTGTACTTAAAGAATGTTCATCAATGGCTCCAGTTCAGCCTGGAGGGAAGTATTGAATGGAATGCCATAGAATTCTGTTTTGGGTGCTACTGTGTAACATTTTTATCTATGAATTTGATGAGGGAATTGAGAGGACTCTTACCAAATTGCACAAAGCTGGGGAAGTTGAATAACTTTAGATGAAAGACGATTCAAGAAGGGCTTAATAGGTTTGCAAACTGAAACATATAGGGTGAAAATGAATGTAGAGACATATAAAGTAACAGTGTGATGCAGTTGCTGAAAAGGCATATACTATCTTGGCTACATGAACAGGAGCATAGAGTTCAGCCCATGCAAAGTAATTGTTCTATTCTGCCAATGAAATCCTATTTGGAGAACTATGCCCTGTTCTGGGCATCACAGTTAAAAAAAAAAAAAGATAATGACAAATCGGAGAAGGCTACTAAGGCTCCTGAGTTGCCAAGAATCTGGAAACCAAGTCTTATAAGAACAGATAAAGGATTTAAGTATGTTTAGAGAAAATACATGAATTTGGTCTTCAATTATTTAAGTGGAACCCAACAGAACATAGTATGGATTTATTCTAGACCAGAACCAGTGAGTTAAAATACAAGAAAGATTCCGATATTTTGTAGCTCAGGGTTGACATGAGGAATCCGTGGTGCTCTTTGAGCCTGATTGTTTTCTTGCAGATGTTTCCTTACCCAAACTAACATCATCAATGCTAGTACTAATGACTTGCCCTGTCAGAGTTGGTGGGAGTGGTCTTGGAGGTTCTTTGATTGGGCTAGCTTATTTTGGCAATTCCTTGCCAAAATAAGCTAGCTTATTTAGCTTAAGTTTATTTAGCTTAAGCTAGCTTAATTATTGCTAGCTTATTTTGGCAATTCCTTGATTGGGGTAATCCTTGATTGTTGGTCTGATGTTAATTTTGGAGTTAATCTCTTCTCATCTGGGTGTTGATTGCTGATGGAGAGGTGCTTAGGTCTTTTTATTCACTTTTGGCTTGTTGATTGTCTCTTTTGCCCAGTCTGTATATATTGTTTGTGTCTATGTGTCTATTGATGGCTATTAATATGTCAAAGTGCCAGGCTTCTAGAAATTCTGCAATGTTTTTGGACTTGACTTGGTCTAAGATGGTCATAGTTTCCTAATTGAAACTATGGTTAAGTTTGTCTAAAGATTCACAGGGTAAACTGTAGAAGAACTTGCTTGTCAGCCTCTGGTATGAGCTGCATATGAACAGGTGAACTCTCCTTCACAAGAGATCTTCAGAGACTAGATGTATCCTGCAGTTTCATTTGAAATATTGTTATTAGAGGACCATACAGATGTTTGAAAAGGAAATCCATCGTATCATTTTAAAGTATGTTTGCAAAAGGCTTTTCTCACACAATTCAAACAAAGCTACATGCATCCACTTTCATATTTATAGGTATATTTTCTAGATTGTGACTTACATGTTATAGGTATGCTAGTGAATATAAGGAACAGTCATGCATTAGTTAGATGAATGAATCATACTTTATGTGCAAATAAATTTATATAAGTGATAAAATTTCAATTTATAAACTAAGTGACTGTCTGGATTTTTGCAAATCAGCTAGAGTAGTCCTAAAATTTCACATTGCCAATAAAATATGTTTTTATATGAGCATAACGTTTACATATCAGATTATACCTAAATTCATTCCAATTCATCAACTTCAGCAATGAAATGCTTTTTCTAAAGAAACGTCTTTGTTTCCTTTAGCCAGAGGAAATATTAAAGTGTGTGGAGAATTCAATTTTGCAACTGATCCTGAAGCTGCTTACATTGTCTTAAATGAGTACACCTGCCCAATGTATATTGCAGCCTGGGAGTTCACCTGTGCCTGCTCGCTGCCCTGGGTAAGAGAATTCTCCAGTCTTTTGTCTATACTGGGAGTTAGTTTCACTGAATTCAATGGGGTTTTATTCTGTGTAGGAGGTAGGTTTTAATTAACTAGGTTGCATAGGCTCACTCTATTCACTTCTGGAATGGCGCCAGAAATTAAGAAACTTTGATATCAGTGCATATTACAATCTTCTTCTCTAGTTTGGAATAGTAAGGCTTTGTTTCTTTTTTCCCTCCCCAAGTCTTCACTGTGGCCTTTAACAGATAACAGATAATAGATAACAGATAATCAGAGTTGGAAGGGACCTTATAGGTCATCTAGTCCAACCCCTTGCCCAAGCAGAGACCCTACTACCCCATTTCTGACAGTGGGAGTCCAATCTCTTCTTGAAGGTCTCAAGTGATGGTGCTTCCACAACTTCCAAGGGCAAGCTGCTCCATTGGTTGATTGTTCTCACTGTCAGAAAATTTCTCCTAATTTCCAGGTTGAATCTCTCCTTGTTCAGTTTCCATCCGTTATTCCTTGTCTGGCCTACAGGCGCTTTAGAAAATAGCTTGATTCCTTCCTCCCTGTGGCAGCCCCTCAAATATTGGAAGACCGCTATTATGTCTCCCCTGGTCTTTCTCTTTACTAGACTAGCCAAGCCCAGTTCCTGCAACCGTTCATTGTATGTTTTAGCTTCCAGTCCCCTAATCATCCTGGTTGCTCTTCTCTGTCCTTTTTCTAGAGTCTCAACATCTTTTTTATAATGTGGTGACCAAAACTGGATGCACTACTCTAGGTGTGGTCTTACTAAGGCTTTATAGAGTGGTATTATTAGTACCTCACTTGATGTACTAATTTACTTTAGGAGTTTCTGTATTACAAATTCCTGTCTGCTCTCCAAGAATTTAAGGCAACGCACATGTTTTCTCTCTCTCTCATGGCAGCCTTGTGAGCCATCATAGTCTGAGAGACAGTGACTGTTTTAAAGTATTCTAATCAGCTTCTGAAATTTAAGTAAAATCTTCCTAATTCAGTCCTAAATCCTAAAGACTACACCATTCTGGCTTCTGGTGGAACGTTGTAATACAGGCTAGGATAGTACATTTATTGTCTGTATCCATCCACTGAATATGTTCAGTTCAATGGTGTAGTATTGGTTGGGAATTCAAGAAAGATACAGTGTAAATTGATGGGCTGAGATATCAAGCACCACATAGAGGCATAGCTAGTTACAGTAATTGAAAAATCTGCTGGTGGCTTCTATATCTCTGTGTTTGATCCAATTAGGGAGGGTTGGGTCAACTAGTTTCCCTGCCTAATTCTAAAGTAGCCTTATCTTACTTAATAGTGTTTCCTTTCCTGGCTCTGGTTCTTCAAAATCCACTGCCACCAGAATTATGCTTGGGATTGGTTCACTGAAAATTTTAAAAGGCCGTAAAATGCTTCTCTTTTTATGGGACCCCATGAAATGTGTTTAATGCATATGTATATATACCCACACACTATAGAAACAGTTTTGTACTGACTGCAAGGTTGTTGTTTTTAAATCAAACTTCTCTTAAGGCAGAACATTTTATTAATACGTTAGCAGTTAATCTTTCATTAGATTTATTCTCTCTATAGTAGTAAACTTATTTTTCCTGTTTGGGAGGCTTACATGGCAACATAGATCAGTGGTGGGATTCAATTGTTTTTACTACTAGTTCTGTGGGCGTGGCTTGGTGGGCGTGGCAGGGGAAGGATACTGTAAAATCTCCAGTCAGAGGTGGTATTTGCAGGTTCTCTGAATGACTCAAAATTTCCACTACCGGTTCTCCAGAACTGGCCAGAACCTGCTGAATACCACCTCTGACATAGATGCCTTAGGCCTTCCTCAAAGTCCCCAAAACAAAATGGGGCAGAAAATCCAAGGCTACTGGTTCCCGTGATATAGTATTATTGAGTCTGCTTCTTTTGGCTTATAGCAAGGTAGATGTGACTCTTTCAGGCTGATTGCCCATTGATCTCCCATTCCCCCCCCCCCCCGATAATTCCTTCTTTGGCTGGGTTTTAATGTTCCACATTGTTTTTTTCCTTCCTAGGAATTCTACCATGAATGGGTGAATCAGAATACTGAGAAAGCCAGATTCATGAAGAAAATATTTGCTCATTCTTTAAAAATGGCAAAACCTCACTTAGGCTTTGTTTCTTGCGACTCTTATGCTATGGCTGCTGCCATTGATGAAAACTTTGTCACGGAAGTCACAATAATTGGCGTAAGTGTTGAGCTCAGTGGCTCTCTAACTAGAGGAATGATGGTAATGGATTGGTCTGACCATCTGAAAAAGGAACACAAAGCATTTGTAATGAAAAACTGTGATTTAGGGAAATTCCAGGCACTTATGATGGATGCTTTGAAATAAAATGGGCTTATTTAACATAATATTTATGTTAAGCTACTGCTGCTGGGCAAACCAAGGGTTGCCTGAAACACTATAATAGCTGCCCATGCAAAGGTTGTAATTAAATTCTTTAATTGTTCTGAAGAATAAAATAATCTTTTAACATTTTTGCCAGCATGAAAGATATACATTGAACTTCTTTTACTCTTCCTTTGCACTACAATTGATTGAATCCTGTTCACTGAGTCATCTATAGTCATGAACTCTTCAAGATGATAAGGATTATGCATCCTTAGGAATTATTTATGAAGGGATCCTTTGAGCAAACACTATAAATTTAAAAATAAATAAAATAATGTCTCCAACTTGATGTCTGTCTTCCCCCTTCTCTGACGCTCTACCAGATGTTGATACAGGCACAATTTATATTATGTGTTTCTTAAAAATGTGTGCCAAAACCCCTTCATAAATCTAAAAATAATTAATATGGTCAATTTTAATGGAGATATAGTATTTGGTTTTCTTGGGTGGATAAAACATTCACTTATAATTAATAATTCATAAACACTTTCTTAAAAGAGCAGATAATAAATAGTAGTTAATACCTTGATACGTTCACATTATTTCATTTGGTACAAGTTAGAAACAAGGATAGTGTAGAAAATGATGCTGCATATTCATAGTGATATTGCCACAGATATCTTCCTGTGGTGAGATTAGACTAGCAAATAGGACCGACATTCTAAAGCAAGTTGTCCCTTCTGTTCAAGACTTGGGTAGATGAACGTATCTTTTGGAGGGGTTACTGGTCCAGTGAGCAGGATCCTTCTGATTCCATATGTATAATTGGATGCCATTTTTAGTGTACTACTTGGTATATAACTGCTTGTATTATAGTTGTCTTCTGCTTCTAGTGAGCTAATTGGTATTATCAATAAATGCCATTGGTGTGAGAAGCATAACTTACTTTAAAACTAATAACTGTTAATAAAACAATGGCAAAATTACTGTATACTTTTCTTATGCACTTTTGCAATTATTATGGTGATATTATAGAAAACAGTCAACAAGAGGTAATGTAATTATTTGCTGTAATTATTTGTAGAACTATTATGTCAAGGTGAATGTTGTTATAACCTAAGGCATAAATTTCAAGCTAATCAAGGTATACCAACAGAAAATGTGAAAGATCCCATTTGCTCAAAAGAACTCCTTTGTTTGAAATAATTGCTCTTTCCCTACGCAATATGATTTGTGCTCATTTAGCAGAATATGCCAAATCTATCACTTACTAAAATCCTTTCCAGTCCCACTATATCCAAGAAACTGTGGTGGCGTCAGGTCCCATAGATCCCTTTCAGGACACTGCCCTTCTGGTGGAGAAGGCCTGGATGCATTCCTCACTTTGTAACCCTTTTCCTGTTGCATGCCTATCCTGTACTTCGATTTACCATCCTGGGAATGTAAAGGGGAAGGGAATGGCTAGAGGGCCCTCTGTTTTATCTCAGCACTGGAGCCTCCAGCAAGCAATGTGTGAGAACAGCTTCTTATCACCTTCTCAGCCTGAGGTTCTCAACACAACTTTGCACCTGTGGACTGGCTTGCCCTGTACTGGACTGAGAGTGTGTGTGTGTCTCTCTCTCTCTTTTAATCTAACAGAAATGTGTGGGAATCCTCAGGTCCTGCCTTCTCTTTGTTGCTATCACTTTGTCCCAATAAAAGTTTCCTTTTGAAACTATTTTTGAGAGTTTTGCTTTCTCGAGGAGAGGGGAGAGGCAAACCTTTACAGGTGGAATGTAATGCCTAATTGCAGAAGGAAGTGCACCACACCATCCTAGGCTGCATCACAAATGGCAACATTTAATATCTGATGCGCAGCCCATATCATCCCGAAAGGTATTTTTAGTGAAGCAACCTAAGATAAAAATGTTATTTGCTCTAAATTCCAAAGCAATCTCCCTTTTTATAAAGAACACATATAGATTCTATAGAGCAAAGTCTCTTATAGACTAAGGGCTGACATGATAGCAGTGTTCCAATATCTAAGGGGTTGCCACAAAGAAGAGGCAGTCAACTTGTTCTCCAAGGCAGGACAAAAAGCAATGGATGGAAACTAATCAAGGATAGAAGCAACCTAGAACTAAGAAGAAATTTCCTGACAATTATCAGTGGAACAAATTGCCTCCAGAAGTTGTGAATGTCCAACGCTGGAAATTTTTAAGAAGAGATTGGACAACCATTTGTCTGAAATGGAATAGGGCTTCCTGCCTGAGCATGGGGGTTGGACTAGAAGACCTCGAAGGTCCCTTCCAACTCTGTTATTCTGTTATGCTTTCTAAACAGAAGGACTAATAAGCTCCTTTTATTCTTATGGGCTATTTTGCCCCACTTTCTTGAAATTAGGACAGATGCTTTGCTAAAATAATTAGCTGGCAGACATTCATTCTTATTGCAATGTTTCAGTGGAAGATATTTAGATTACAACCCATTCTAATCAGACTCCAATATAATCTGAGCTAACTAAGCAACTGAACCAATCACCATTTTCATTTTTTTTCTTTCCTCTTTTTCCTTCTGTTTTATTTACTTTTTGATTCATGTACATTAGACTATGTACCCCAAGGGAGGGATCCTGGAAACATTTTTACATTAAGAGCAAAGGAATGTGCACTTAGTAAAACATATAACATCTTGGGCTAGAGTCAAGTAAGGGAACTAATGAAATTTAATCTTAGCATAACTAAGTTTGGAGCCATTCTTAACCATAGAAAAACAAGAATAGCAGAATGTTAGGTAGCCATAAGGTGGCCCTGGTGGTGTTTAATTGAGAAGAGTAAAGTTGTTAAAGGCAAAGAAATGAAAATGAAATTCCAAGAACCCACGTTGATAGAGCTTGCTCCAGAGATGGTATTCAGCAGGTTCTGACCAGTTCTGGAGAACCAGTCGTGGAAATTTTGAGTAGTTCAAAGAACCAGCAAATACCCGATTGGAGATTTTACAGTATCCTTCCCCTGTCATACCCATCAAGCCAGAACTGGTAGTAAAAAATTTTGAATCCCACCACTGGCTTGCTCCCTCAATTAATTGGCTTCTATCAGTTTGTAGAAGGACTGTGCATGAAGCGGGTGTAGGGTTTCCTGCCTAGGCAGGGGGTTGGACTAGAAGACCTCCAAGGTACCTTCCAACTCTGTTATTCTATTTCTCGTGAGTAGTTTTGGGGGAGCATTTTCAGTACCAACTTTAGAAATGAAGCTTTATTATATGTATTGTTCTTCAACTATCTTTTCAAAACAAAAAAGACATGTGCTGAAAAAAATTATATCAATATTTCACTTTGCTAAAACAATTATTTCAAAGGCAGTGATGTCAACTTTACCTCAAAGAAAAAATACCGCTGCACACTTTCTATCCAACCAAATTATGAGAACCACTTATTATTTATTCATAATGTTATCCTTCTGTTCAAATGTGCCTAAGGCAGCATGTTTATTTTTTTAAAAAAATAAGAGGGGCATTGAACGTTAAACACAGATTGAATGAAATTGAAAATATGCAAACAAGATTTAGGAAGGCTGCATTCTCCCTTTACAAAAATTGCATGGATTTTAAGAATAAGAATTATCTACTTGTAGGTTTTCAGCCAGTTTAGAAAAGATGTTTGAAATATTAAATAGCACGTCCATTCTTAAAACAGATTTTGGAAAGGACAGAAATCCTTCATAAATGAGGAGACAATAGTTAGGAGAAATGAAAGTTGCAATGGGCAGGTTAATGATGGTGATGGGCAGGTAAAAATGATGGTGCCAGGATTTCTCGTTTTCTTCATTTTTGGTGGTGGGATATTTATAAAGATTTTAAGCCTATTCTAAGACTTACACAAGAATTTTCAGGAGTTCGTCATGTTGGAAAACTCAATATTTTAAAAACACACTTGGAAGTCCTTTCAGGAATCACAGGAAAAATGATTTTATTTATTTTTATTTTATGGTTTGGGGTTTTCTGTTATTTTTATTGTTTTATGCATTGCGCAGGATTCTTGTTATAATATGGGCAGCTGTGTAAGACATAAAAATAATCAAATAAAATAATAAAATAAAATAGAGGCAGAAGAAACATATTGTCCTCCCCTTGCAGTAAATGAATGTATTGTTACTTCTACACAAAATGATAATTATAAAAGATGTTGGGTTTGGCATGAGTTCCATTTTAGTTGTTTAAACAAATTACACTCATCTATACAAATATATACCGTTCGAGTCTCCCCTCCATTGCATTTATTACGCACAATATAAACATATAAACCACATTGCATATAAACACACTAAAGTAGCTTTTGCATTTATTTTTGATGTCTCCTCCTCCCCTTCCTCCTCCCTTCTTTTCCTTCTTCCGGTGTCTGCTGGAATAAAGCCACTTTCTTGGCTTTGTAGTTAGCCAAGAATAAGTGAACATTGGGATGTGTTTTGGGTAGTAGCTGACTTGCCAGCAGAGGGGCTGGGCTGTGTCTTTCCATATTCACACAGCATGTTGTTAGCTGCTAAGAGCCTCCACTTCAGCATATTGGTTTTGCACTCCAACTCTCAACCTATTCAGGGTAACCCAAGTAGTATAAGGGAAACTGGATCCTTAGCCAGATCCTCTTTAAATGCTATTCCTTGATTGATGGTCTCCTTCCTCCATCTTTCAATGTGTTTACTTACTTAAGAAAGCATATTTATTTTGCCCAAGTAAAGTTACCAAATATTACAGAAATGCTAACACTCAATTTTTAATGCAATTGAAATTGTGCTCTATGGTCTTGTATAACCAAAATAAAAACGTCTCAATATTAATAAATATTTTGCCTTATTCTGTATTGTAGCATAATATTCCTTTTTTGATTTAGCTGTCATAAATTGGACCAAGTTGCGATTGTATTCATTAAACGTAGCTGCATATTAAAACACAAAGGAAGATAGTATCACAAGACACTTAGGGGTATGTTTTGCTTAACCTTCTCTTGCAGATGCCTAGGTTCCCCTTAAGCAGCCCACATAAGAGAATCTAAAGAGTATTTGTAGCTCGGGGTTGAACTGTGGGGTCCAGACTCCAGATGCTCTGTGAGCTTGGTTGTTTGCTTGCAGACATTTCATTATCGAACAAGCAACTGTTTCCCCCATGCTAGTACTCCAAGTGTTAGTGGTGCTTGACTTTTGTTTAACCAAAATTGGTTGAATGAATAACTACATATAAACATAATTTTTGGGTGGTCTGATAGGGTAAATCCCTCTGGTGTAGATTCTTTATCCTGCACACAGTCAACATGACCTTATGGTGATGGGTAAAAGATGCAGATGAGAAGAAATCCTGACCAGCTGACTCAGCCTTCCATCCTTCCGAGGTGGGTAAAATGAGGACCCAAATTATTGGAGGCAATATGCTGACTCTGTAAACCGCTTAGAGAGAGCTGTAAACCATTATAAAGTGGTATATAAGTGCTATTGCTATAATGACATGAAACAAATCACTTTTTCCAGTCTAAGATTCAAAGATCTCCATGAGGAGTCAAACTATGCAGCCAGAACACATTTTATGTTATCCATTCTAAGGGAAAAGTTTCCAATAAAAAATAGGCATTTCTTTCCTATAATTGGCTATAATTTCCTGTAAATTTGTATTCAGAATATGGCGAATGTCATAATTGGCCTCCTTTCATAGGCTAGATAATGCCTTTGGGATGGGATTGACTTGAGTCTCCTCCTCTCCACTTATCCAGCTCCTGGAGAAGAGCTGACTTATGGCAATGGGAACAGTGTGGAGCAAGTCTTCAGCAGAAGCTGGTGTTTAAAAGGGTTCTGACTGACAATAATTGGTTGTTGAAAATGCATCTTCAAGCATCATCATTCAAACAACTGATTGTGTAAGCCCTTTCATTCCCCTTTGTCTAATGAAGCAGCTGCAAATCAATCCTGATCACTGTGGTCCATGAAGTCCCAGAAGTGAATTAGGATTTTTGGCTGAAAGTTCCCTGATCTAAAGTGAACGCTATTGTGCAGTGTTGGGGGAAAAAAAAGTCTGCAATTAGAGTAACTACTGGAAATGTGCAATATGTATTAACACTCGTTTAGAAACATCTCTCTGAAGTAACAGATTACTCTGAAAGACAAAATCTAGCTTTCTACGTAAGAGCCAATTTGGTGTAAAAGATTAAGGCATCGGTCTAGACACTGGGAGACTCTGAGTTCTATTCCTGCCTTAGACACAAAGTCAGCTGGATAACCTTGAGCGACTGTCTGTCTCTAAGCAGGAAGAAGCAGGCAATGACAAACTACTTCTGAAAAACCTTGCCAAGAAAACTGTAGGATTTTGCTTGTCCAGACAGTTATCACAAATCAAGACTCATACCTCCTCCAAACTTATTAATTTTTCCCTCCCTAGAATATCGGTCTTATTTTCCTAGCCCCGAAAATATGTTCAAGCTTTTTGCTCCTGGTATGTAACCAGTATCCCACGCAGAATGTTTCACAGCCAAGGTAATTAAGACTTTCTTCCATGGTGGATGTATGAGAGATGATATGCTGTTTGGTGACTCAGCTGCGGCAGCTGTCACAAAACTGCCAGCTCACTTGTAGCTGCCATTTAAAAAAAAAAAAAATGTTTACATGGCACAGTTATTTTTATACAATGTTTTCCTCCACTGTGAACTTTTAGAATGATCAGAG